AAAAAACATTAAAACAAATCCAACCTTGGTAACTAGAAAGGCTCTGGGATGGGTATTCAAATTATGCCAACGAATACCTGGCCATGATTCTGTTCTGTCTGGTCTACCGAATAGTTCGCCGTGGCATAATTGTGATCCTGGAGGTGCAAGTCTTCACCAATGCAATATCTTGACAGTTTTAAGTGATCCAGACCATATGGATCACGCAACTGCGCATCACAAACTCAAGCTGACTGCTTTGTTCAGATGGTGCGCCCTCCAGGCAAACGACTAACACGGACAACATTACCACCAGAGGCCGCGAAGCTCATAACATCGGGTAACCTCGAGAATACCGATAGTCAGGGAAGATATCAAGGGGTTAAGAGGGAAATCGATGAAACTGGACTCGGAGAACAGCGTTTAATAAGAAGCACGATGAGGCCAGTGAATCATTTAGAAATTTATTTCCATTTACGTACTCTGGGGTCAGGTACCAAAAATGTGGAGGTACTTAAATGTTCCCTTGAATGAACGTGCAGGTGCCATTTTCAAATCAGCAGCGGCGCTTCGCAACCGGAAGAAACGAACCGCACACTTTCATGGTTTTCCCCAACAGGACTAGCGAAAGAGGAGAATGGCATCGTGGTAAAGGTGTTTCAGTATTCCAAGAATACAACTGCTGTGATTCCGAATAACCAAAAGCCTTCGTGCAACCCAAAGCAGTGGTCTTGGAAACCATGGAAATATGTATAAACAGTGTCCTGGGCTACGGACTCGGCTCACATATCTAAACAATAAGTCGCCACCCACCACATCATCATCGACAGCATGGCATCAGTGTTCAACACCGATGCTTCACTGCCATACAACCATTATTTATTTGAAAGCCTTATTGTAAAGAAAAGAGTAAAGGTGGATGGGGAAGGGACTTAGTGCTAGCTTAACACAGTCATTCCGAGGTGCCTACACCTCCAGACATTCACTCAGGCAATCTGGACAGAAACTGACAACAAGAACGCCACTGACATCGGTTGGCAGCCATATCTTGTAGTGTCTCCAACCAGGCACAGTGAGGATCACGCGGTCCCCATCCTGGAAGGCGAGTAGCACCGACAGCATCCAAGCGTTTCGTGATCTCCTTCATACTCCTCTGACAAGTCAAGGGTTGGCCACCTCTCTGCTTCCGCCACTCTGAATTGGGCATGGAAAACAGTACTCTCTTCGGCAAACGATGGTTCGGCATACGTAATATATGTCCCAACCAACGCAGCTTCTGGTGCTGGACACATTCTTCAATGGAAGTACCCATTACACAACCGAAAACGCGCTTTCTAACTGCCTCATTACGGATTCGCCACCCAACACACCGAAACCTCTTCAGAAACCGGTGCCTATCACATTAGGACAGACTGCTTACCTGTCAGTTTTCACTGGTGCTTCACCTCTGTGCACCCATAATTTATTTGAAAGTCTTATTGTGATGAAAGGAATAAGCGTGGATGGGGGATGAATTTACTACTATCCTACCAGAATCGTTCTTAGGTGCCCACACCCCCAGGCAATCTGGATAGGAACTGACGAGAACGTTAGCATCGATCAGCAGCCATATCTTGCAGTGTTATCAAACCTCTACAGTGGAGACCACGGATAGCCTGTTATCCTTTTCGTTTTTTCAGAGTTCCAACATCAAAACTGTCAAGGCGGAAATCGAGGCTGGATTATTGATTTCGAGACGCCTGTGGCTCTCAGCGCTGACTGGCCTGCCGATATTGCGCCAAAGACCGATGCAAGACGAATGGGGTTGCCAGTCCTAACGGACAGATACAAGATTACAGTTAGCGGGGCGTTCTGGGGGCGAAAACGCGTGGAAGAGATAAAGCTGAGGGGTCAGCGGTAGTCTGTTTTCACTCCCTCGACCCGCTCTATACGGCAAACAGGGCAACAAGATCACATGGCCTATATGGAATGACGTATTCTTGGGTTGCTGGAGACTTGGTTGTTCATGGACCGTGATACTGCCGGAGCACAGAAACCTAGACAGGAGGACGAATGAAGCCCTCTCGCTTACCTAGATTCAGTTCGGTCCATTTCACATCAAATGCTAAGGAGAGTTAATTCAAAAGTCAGTCCGAATTCTCGCGTCGATCAGCTTTTAGCAGTGCTTTTACGGTAGTTGTGATGTTCCTTCAACTTGAATGTCTTGGGTCGAGAGGTCCTTTATTTTTCTCGATGGTATGCTGCAAGCAAACCACGCTTTTTGTCAAGCTGAAGGCAGCCCGATAGGAATACCGGACGCTTCCGTCCTCCACAAAAGCGGTGGAATTTTGTTCTTCGATTGGTATTGATATTAAACGTGCTATAGATTCCACTATACAAGATCGTCATCTAATCAGTAGGAGTCGAAACACACAACGCTGATCGTCTGTCTGCAATTTACAATCATTCGTCTTCAAAGCTTCTTAGTTTGTGGTTATCAGATATTTTCATCGACTGGTGAATGTTGCCGCTAGCCCATAGTCGTGTGAAGGATTCCCAAATTTTAAGTTCAGGCACACCACCAGCAGTAAGTCTATGGAGTGTGATAATAGCTGTAGTGTCCCAGGAAAGTGTTTTACTTTTGTGAGTTGAACGTTCGGGAATCGAGAAGCATGTCGAGGTGGAAATTGAAGAATGGACGATTTGATTCTTCCACAGACGTTTGCCCCAACAATGAGCCGAGTACTTTGAACAACGATTCTCGTGACCACGTGGAGCCATTCAGCTTGATCCTATAACTAAAGTAGAACCCTGGGTGGTGAACCTGGAATCCCCTACAGTCTCGGAGGTTTATGATTGCATATTCTCCATCTAGCATCACTGACCTCGTGGTCCGGATGAGACACTCTGATTGTTCAAGGATAGGGCAAATTCCTCAGTCCGTGCTTATCTGATCTGTTTTCCCGCATCTTAGAGGAGGCTGTCTTAGACAAGTAAGGAGAATCGGAGATAGTGCCTATTTTAAAAAAAGACTCGTAATGAGTGCGGTAATCACGTCAAGATCAGCCTGATTCCAGTTGTAACTGCGCTTTTGGCGTCGTTTATCCTTCGTCACCTCATGGTGGCCCGTGAAGCGTATAAAAGACCCACGATTTCACTGTTCATGGATTTCCAAGCCGCAGTCGATTCAGTCGACCCTTCTGTTTCCCTTGACACTGGCCCAGCAAGGAATGCTGCGAAGTTTGTAAACAATGTGTTTCCTGTATTCTCATACTTCCGGTATTTTGAGATTATGCAAAGAGCTGCTTTCCAAAAAGCTTCAAGGCATGCCGCGAAGTTTGTAAACAATGTGTTTCCTGTATTCTCATACTTCTGGGATTTTGAGATTATGCAAAGAGCTGCTTTCCAGAAAGCTTCCGTGCACGTCCGACAAGGAGTGATATCCCACTCCTATTTAAATTCGCAGTCGATGAGAACTTTGGAAGGTTTCCGAAACCCTGGTATTCAGATAGCTTCTGACTAAAGCCTTGTCGATTTGGAATCTGCAAACAACATCGTTCTCTTCATAGAGGAGGAGATACAGAGGTTTTTTGGACTGATCAGAGTCATCCCGTCTTTTGGGACGCACTGTGCACCCATGAAATGTTTGTGGACATGCGGCTGCTAAACACGCCACTTGTAATCTAAGGAAAGATATTTGGAGTTGTGGTCTTTAACGACTTTGGTCTCAGAACTATAGCTCATGTGGTTTGGTATCGGCGAATCCGTAACCAAACAATTAGAAAGCGAGTGTTCAGTTGTGCAGCAGAGATCTCCATTGAACAGTGTATCCAGCAGCAGAAGCTGCGTTGCTTAGGCCATGTATTGCGCATCCTGAACGGATCGCTGTTTTCCGTTCCCAATTCAGCGAGGACTAAGTAGGGATGTGATCAACCTTTGGCCAGACCAAGGGAAGTGATATCGATTACGGAAAGTCTGGGTGCTGTCGGCAAGACTCGCTTTCCATGACGGAGTCCGCTTTGTTCAATTGTTCCTGGTCGGAGGTGCTGCAAGATATAGCTGATAGTCGATGTCAATAGTTTCTTGTCCATTTCTATCTATTAAGGCAATCTTGAATGAATGTATGGAGGTATGGACACCTCAGACTGATTGTGTTACGGTAGCACCAAGTCTCCTCTCCATCCACTTTCGTTCTTTTCTGCACAGTAAAGCTTTCGATTAGATTATTGTTGTACGGCAGCGATGCATCAGTGTTGAACACTGGTTTTATGTTGTCGATGGTGATTTCACGAAAAACGTTTCATGCCCTGTTTGTAAAAGCACGATGTGCTATATCACTTATTAATGGCACTTTTGCCCTGGAAAGTTTACTTTGTGAGCGGCTAGCGCTTTGGAACCATTGAAGCAGAACTTCTGGTCTCCGCAGATATGTGCATGGGAATGCTATTTTCATCTGTATCACTAATTTCATTATTCAGTGCAAGTGTAGACAGTTGTGGTTCGGCGACTGTGACTATTGGTTAACGCATAGTTTCCTAACGACAGAACTTTTGGAAGCGGAAGGACGTTTAAGTACCATTCTGTAAGGCTTTCCTCCTGGTTATCCTGCTTTACTCCTATTAGTCTATGCACAGCTAGCTACCTGTGTAGAGTTGATTGTATCCCAACTTCTGTTTTCTGAGGTGCATCATCCGGAAGAATTTGGGCACTCTTCAGCATGTTGGTTGATCTCCCGGAAGGTCACCCCTCAGTTGCTGAACAGATTATCCGGGATTACTCAATCTGTAGATCACGAAACCGATACACCAGGTGGAACTATTTATCAAACCCTGAATTTCTTCCTCTGTTGGACAACTACTCAATCAAAACAGTCTTGATGTTTTTTCGTGTCCGTACGTGTGTACGTGACATGCATGTTGAGGTTTCTGGAAACGACCTAGTGCCCCCTACTCTTAATCTGTTATGCAGTGTTTTTTTATCTGAAAGCATTTATTCTATTGTATGAGAAAACGCTTTACTGTTTGTTATTCTTCCATTCTCAGATTCGATGGAGGCTGCATTAACTGAATTGGACGAAGACGACCCATCTCTCGTTATTGTTAACGTACAAATCTCCGCACTACGGAAGGACCTTGCGCGTACCATTCTTCGGAAGCACTCAACAGAAAATCTGCCTCTACATCTATCACTAGGACAGACTTCGTATGAGGATGGTTTGAAATCGACTGCTGCTCCACCCAACGATTCACCGATCTCGAATCATTCAGTTTCCAAGTTATCAAAGAATGATCAGCAGTCCAAGGAGGAAATGCAAATGTGCATCCTAGAACTTCGTCGATTGGTAAGCGCTTGACTGAATAGCGTGCAACTCCTTTGGTTTATCATAAACTCGCGTCACTTCATCACGTGCGCCACATAAAAAATAACGTGGATTTAACTGCCGAGACAGGTGGATCGGATTTTGGTTTTGCATCGGCTTTTCACTGCGGGGTGAAATCGGATGGCACCTCCTTCCCTCCACAATGACCGTTTATTTGTAGCTTCTGGTGGGTCCAATCTCAAATGTCAGCTGGATCTGTCTTTGTAGGATTCATCAAAGTATCGAATTCGCCACTTTGTTAACAATCTCAGTATACGGTGCACGCACTTACTCCACAGCTACCCGACCCTTCTCGATAACCATACCAAACGATGAGTTTTCGAGCATAGGCGGGTGAAAACAACAAAGTGTTCAGACGGTCCCGTAGTATGAATATATATTCTTAAAATGTGCAACAACTGAAAGACTCCAAACTGTGCAAAGTAAGTCTAAGATGATTACAGTTCTATTTTTGAGCCGAATAGCAAAGTATTTATGCGATATGATGACGTCCATTTGTTTCGCGAAGCAGAATATAGATGCTTGGCATGTTTTGTGCATGGGATTCCAAATGACCGATATCGGTTCTTCGCTGGCTGTTAGTCCGGGAATTCACTTTAATAAAGCTGTTTGAGTCAGCATATTCGCTGGTTAAAAATGACTTCTAGCGGTACTGATATAACGGGCGAACATCAAGCCATGCGGTCCAAATGTGCCACAAGAAGAGGCCGCACTAGACCACCAACGAACTGCCATGTTTGCGTGTAAGGTAGTACTCTTGGTCTTTACCATATCAGTAGGATAAGTAAGTGGCAAAGTCAGCTTACATGGGGCTGCTCTGACTAATGAAACCTCCCACTTTGATTAGTGTGCTCAGGTAGCTTGATGTTCACTACCACATTTCCCAGCTGTATTTTCGACTTGCAGCTAGAAATATGGGACAGCTTTGGTTACTTGGGGCTATCATATCACGGAAGCAGCTAGTTTCAAAGCTTATTTCAATTATTAAGTCAATCCCCTAGGAGTTCATTCACTTCAATCCTGTTCATTATAGCATCTGTTATTCTGCTGTCCGGTAACTCTGTCATACTTCGTTGAATACCAACTTTCTTTGCATGATCCGACAGAAATCGTTCTTTCAGTATGGATGGAATTGTAACTTTTCACCCTTCATGCTCCATGTAAGCGAAGACGGGTTTTACTCATTGTTTTTGGATTCTGTAATGCAAGGACAGGTATTGTCAGACCGGAGACGGAGGTCGAAAATCGACGAATTACGATGGCGCTCATTCTCTATATGTTCGGAAACGACACTGAAAATATCGCGCCTATTTTTTTAAACTTTCACTTGGTAACTTGGATTGCCGTCCTTAGAGTTGAGTCTTATCGCTTATAAATGGGTCTGATGATAATTCTGTAACGAACATACTACGCTGAAAGCTTATCGCAGTGGGCGTCAAGCAGAAATACAACTAACGCTTTTGAGTACTCCGTTTGCTCACTAGCGCTTTTGGGCAAGAAATGAGCATCAAACTTACGTAAGTGGTAAGTTAATCAAACAATACCCGGGCTCTACAACTTCATCAATCGGTCAAGTTTGTGGCTCACCGGTACGTGCCCTGCTTTTGTGTAACCTAAAAAGTGTTTAGGCGTAGGCTGCTATCAGTTTCCGGACAAATATTTTGACGAAACAATCAATCAGCACGCTTGGCCACTAAATGTAATATCCGTTTCCAACCGAATCTATGTAGGGTTTCTGTCACCTGTTAAGTGCATTAGGAACAAGGATTGACTGTGTTCTCGGGCTATTTTCTAGCACTTAGATGTCATTGGTACTCCTGAGGTAAGACCCATATCAGCAAAGTATCAGTAAACATACTACTAGACAACGCAGTTGATCTTCAGGGTTGCAGAGGCTTAGTTGGACTCGATCTAAGCGACTGACAACCCTGATGTTTTTCAGTTATTCTCTAAACTTACCAAAATAACTTGGTTGCTAGTGACAGTTCTTACTTGCTTTCATACTGATTTCCGGACCAAGGTTGATACGTTAGCAACAAAGTGCGAGGTCACTCGTTGCAAATTGGCCGAAGAGCGCGCCAAACGCGTAGTCGCAGAGGCCGAACTCATGGCTACTCGATCCTACAATTACTATCTTCCTCATTCGCCTGGACCCAATGGTATACGAGACTGGGACGCGGAACAAGCGTCTGGAGCTACAGACTGCCGCCTGTCCCCCTTCTGCTCTCCTGAGAGATTTGTCGAGGATCGGCCATGTACACCTGTTGAAGTCGATGGCATCGATTCACAATCGGATATTTGGTTTGATGCAAATAACAGGTGACCGTACTTAACATCTTGCGGACTCGCACTATGCCACACAGGCGATACCTGTGATTGACTTCTAAATTTCCCGGTGAAACTTCAATGAGATATCCCGGGTTTTCAAGCGAATACCTTTTCTCGCGTTATTTTTGTGAATTTCCAAAATCCTCTCTCCATAGCTGCCACATAAACAAGCATTGCAAACTGTACAGCTTCCATATTGTCACTCTTTTTCTCAGAATCGGTGCATTTCCTGTGATTCTTGGTTACTTTTCTAACATGTCTTGCTAATTGTTTGCGCTTAGAAGATTCACTGATCAATGCCAAGCAATAAACTGTCTTTCATACATGCATTAAATGGTTATTCTACTACAGAATAGGGTTAGGTTCTTTTTCTGTGTATGGTCCACTAGAGGAAGTTCCCAAACTGTTTCGTAGTGCTTTCTTTTGAGGATATCAAAGCATTATCCCCTCGTTCTTTCTGACCAAAATGACACGAAGACAGCTCACAAATATTAAACAAAAGTATCATCACTTCCATTTTGTTCGTGTGTTGCAAATGTAATCTTGGAGAAGGACCTTGAGGGCACAATCATTTATTCCATTTCGGAAGCGCTGTCAGCGAATGAGAAACCTGTGATAGTTTTTTTTATCGGTTCTAGGATACGCGGAGCCCCTAAACAAGCACAACTCGCTTCGAATCTTATTCAACCCTTGTAGCTGAGCTGCACGGTTACATCAGGACGAACTAAAGCGATGCATCCTTGATGTATTGCTGCTTGACGACGGCATTGATGAACTCAACTTCCCAATTTGTCATTCAAACCCAAGTTGTCTAGGAAACCAAATGGCAGAAGAATAGTGTAATCAAAATACTTTGGGAGTCATTCGGTAGCCAGGACCACTGGAATCACTTATATTGGGTTCGCAGCTGGTTAGCTGCGGGATCCGTGGTGAGGATGCGCACATCCATTCTTAATTCCATAGCTTGGGTTGAATGGAAACATCAACATGGGATTCCACGGTTTGCAGTCGAATAGCATCAGTTTGGCGCAAAATTGCATTCTCCGTGACAGGGATACAGTATAACTTTCTTCAATAGTTACCCTATGAAATGCGGAGCTGTATCGTGAAAACGTACGGTGGAGTGAATCACGGATAGGATACATAAGACAGATAGGGTCTTGACAACTGCTATGACCGCTCCGCCGAATAGTATAGTAAAAAGTACAACAGTGAGAGACCTGATGTGGAAGGTCCTGTCCAACAAATCAACTGACAGTGTGGCCAGATCAGCTTCAGATGCGCGGCAATTCAAGCAACAACCTGTCAGGTAATACACATTTTATTCCAGACCAAACCTGAATATGCGAAATTTGGTCCTTGAAGCGGTTGCTCTTTTTCACTTCCACTTGCCTTGTTCGACTGCCAGCTCTATATTGCGTAGAACAGTGACACGACGATGAACAGGCAATCGACCGGTAGCTGTTTCGGGCATGGTTGGGACTGGAAACGTGTTCAGGCCCAGCACACATGCATCATCTTTGACGCTGAAATGAGTCTAATGGTGATATACGTAAAACAGAGGTTGCAACGCAACGGATTGCTTTTCTACCCGTGAAGAATTTCTCTGGCAGTACCCAAAAAGAATTTAGCGACTCCTGAAGTGCCAATAAACATGTCCTGACCACGTACCTGTCATCAACGATACACCAGTTTCGGTCTCGTCAGGCACGGAGAACTGCTGATCTACCGTATTCACAACGGGATCAGCGTAACCTAAGTGATTTAACTCGTCCCAACGGAGACGCTCAAGCTGGAAAACGTCGACGAAACGGTAGGATCTGCAAGCTCCAATTTTTGCTGCTATACCTCTAATGCTTCTGTTTAGAAAAGTCAACCCAACTTTGGCATATGTCTGTTTAATTGAGTACTACCATGTTTATCGGACCAGTTATCCTTAGGAGCTACGAAGCCCCTGATGAAAGCCACTCGGTTATTTTTTTCTGTTATCGTTTAAATAAACAGGAGATAAACGTCATGAGATACAGATGCTAGCAATGCTGGTTGATCTCTCATTTCTTGTTGTTCCCTAGCTGGGAGTAATTTTTGAAGCGAACAATATTATTTAGCTCTAGGTAAACTGATCTCTATCCTCTGTTTGACAAAACACAAACATGTGTCCGTCGGTTATTGACGTATCGTGCGCATAACCCACCAGTAATTTGAAGACAAGCCAGCCGGCCTCAAGTGTTGTGTGCCAGTGCAACGGTTTTAAGTGTACACAAAAAAAGTTTATCACAAACTGGGACGTAAAGCCTCGTCGAATGGAAATTTCAAGTCCTCGGCTTGGTAATTGCCAAGGTTTCTGGAATATTTGGACGAATAGCCTAATACTTACCAGTGGTCAGCATTAAGTGCAAAGATAAGTCAGCAACCACGTGGTCTTTCTGGTAAATGAAGAGTCATGCAACTGATTATCTTCATAGCCATCTACTGAGCTCTAATATAGACCGGTATCCGGCAGGATCTTTTTCTAATATCCTGAAATCTAATCAGATTCAATCAAGTGAAGAACGAGCTTCCCAGTAAACAGGCCACACCAGATAGATCACAATAGTCCGCAATTTTTGTAAACAAATTTATTTGTCAGATAAAATAAGTACGGATTAATAAAATAGGGAAGTCAAAATCTAGGGTTGCATCGGTTTCGTTCCTTCAGAGATCCGTTGGCGAGTGATTTTCAAGCCAAGATTCGATTTCTAATTGACAGCCCCTAGCGGCACTACCAAACACCGTTGGTTGTACATGATTAGGGCGTAAGTGTGTGATAAACCGTTTCAGCTCGCTGTAACTGCTGTGTTCGCTGTAAGCCGCACCTGTATTACGAAGAAGAGGTGGATTCGAAACAACTGCAGTCCAAACTGGATAAATTTTCCATGCATACGATTTCCAAGCAACGAGGACGATGAAAACTTCGTAAATACAGCCATAACAATCTTTCTGTGTCTATCAATAGCTGCCCCAAGCTACCACCCCTTTTGATTCGCTGAAGCTCCAGCTTCGGACTTCTTCGGCGCTGGCCGTCTTAGTTGGATGGAATTATTACTAAGATTCTGGAGCTGTCGGTAAACATTCAAACAAAATTTTTTTCAGGCTGATGGTCGAGATTCTGACCAACATAAGTTGACAACCATAAAAGGTACCATGGCCAATTTCGGTGACAGATTTATGCGTGGATGAGAGAGTTGCAGTGGGGAAGAATGTCAGTTTCAGAGGGATGTGCACTTAAGCTTTAGAAACACCGGGTGTCATCATCGTCAGTTGTAATAACCGCGTACTCGTCGTACAGTGGTTGTAGCTGCCGCAGTTTCGTTCACCGATGGTTTGGGGAGAGGGGGAGGTAGCTGCGCATTGCAGGCGGAGCTAATAAATTGGTGTAAGTCTGTTTCATGCCTGATTTTCCACACGTCACTCAGTTTACTCAGTAAGCAACAACAAATATTGAAGAGAAGACCCTCGTTTAAGTAGCGAGGAAGATTGAGGAAAAGTTTGTCCAGCGAAGTGGAATACCTGGGCAACATTTCTAGGATAATCAGTTGGCATCTACCTCGGGCTGTTTGCATAGCTCTCTTGTTTTCTGTCCGGAGCTAGCAGTAAGGAAATATATATGTATATGTATGGTGTATCTTCCTTCGCTGTATTCGAAAACATGTTTATCCTAGTAAGAACTTCGTGTGCGGAGTGATCAAGACCATGCTTGAGTCAAGGATGTTATAGAAGGCAGAAACAGATGTCACTTAGTTGCAAGCTAGTATCATACCTACGAATCCACTGGAACGTCACTCAAAAGTCAAAATAACTGATCAGTCAAATAGGGTTCATATCAAGTGTGTGCGTGTAGCATTCCATCCACAATATGAACGGATCGATCCATTTAGGTTTCGACGAAAAAAAAGCTTGTATGTATGGGTATACTCTAATAGTTTGTCCTATTGTCGTCTAATCACACTTCGACTTGTTGGGTGCATGAATCCAGACGGTTGACAACATAACCAAAGACAGTCGTTGGTGCTGGATTTTGCCTGTGTGTTGTCACGGATGTGGCTAGCCGTGTGTAGGACTGTGTAGAACAAACGACTGGACAGTTGGAGGATGGCGTGCAGGTGAAGTATGTGCAAGCATGAAACAACGGAGAAGCAAAGCATGGTACTCCACAGCTGTGACGCGCCATAAAAGAAAAGCCATACACACAAAATTAGGTCAATGTTGTCATCACCCGTCTGGAATCACATGATGACAAACGAAGGCATGCGGGTTACATGATAAAAACCATGTAAAGATAATGGTAAGAGTAGGTTGTCGAAACCAAGTTAAATGATATTGCACATACCGTGGCGATAATCGGTCCACTTGCTCAATAAAGTTAAAGGGAGCAACATTTTGATGGCACTGACTCCCCACAGAATCTACAATATGCACCTGGAGAGGTTCCATTTAAGCAACGTCAACACCAACTAGATAGATTACCATCATTAACGTTATGTATTATCATGCTGGCTCTAACCTCCGGTTAGATACTACCAGGTTCGTCTGAGCGACAGAACGCCTCGTTTTCGTTCACAGGTCCTAATAGGTCCGACCACCTTGTGTGCCTGTCCGATTTTACTGGCTGACCTCACTTTACAGGGCCGTTGAGTTCGGACGTAAACAGCAGATTCGAACGACCTGAGAATGTTCAGCTAAGGAAACCTTTAGGTACATAACTGCCATGTTAGGTCAATCAAGCCCAAATAGAATTTTCCGAAAATGTGAGTGAATTCAAGCAGTATCCCTTCCAACCAAGAAATCAAGCTTTCGGAAGAATACGTTATCTGGTTCATAATAAATGGATTTGGCGGTCCCCGATGAAACAAAAGATTTGCCCAAGATAGCATATAGTCCGCCTGTGAACTTGGTGTTAAAATAACTGATTGGAGGGTGTGGAACAAAAGTGGGGCACAAGTATGCACCGGGGAAGACAAGCAAAATAGCCACTATTCCGACAGCGAAGCCTGGAAAACACTTGAGATTATCTTCCGACCACTTAGGTCGATAAAAATTGGCTTAAACTCCATGTTCAGAGCTCTAAAAATCCAAACATCAAGGAAATACAGCGGCGCGCTGAGTTGGAGCTAAGGACTAGTGAATAGACCACACCATTCATGATTCCCAATGTATCCGTTGGTCTGCCTATGGACGTAATCTTGTGTGAACCTAATCTAAACTGAGGCTCCTTCATACCTTATTGGAAACTAGGAGAGATCGTTGACATCATCGAATCACCGAAAACTTGGCACCAGATGAACAGAACCGTCTGTCAGTAGGGCTATGCCCGGAAGATAGAGGTTACGTACTGTAACGTTATCCATGAGTGACCCATACGTCGTTGAGAAAACCGGTGCAACTGAAGTCACTGCAGCGATACGAGTACAGTTTGGTCAACTAGCTCCACAATATACTGGGATTGTAGGGCTCCAACGCTTAATAATAAGTCATTAATAATCCTTCGGGTGCAATATCCCCTTAGCTCATAGCTGCCATGCGACTCGAAAGAAGCACAAGGCCTGAGATAGTGCCGGGCTTTTCCAGCCTAGACCAACGATTCCGAGTCGAATTCATAAAAAAATTTCGGTTCAGTTTGTATAAGCAGAAAGTGTCCGTAGTTTAAACTGATCGAGTCAAACTTTGTACACCACTAGGTGATGAGTTCCTAGCATTCATTGTACAGTGCAAGAATAACAGAGCGAGTAGTGCACCAAAAAGTAAAAAAAATATTTAATCCACCTCTATCTATCTTCTGGCTTCTTTGTACATTCACTTTCGATATACACCTGATTATATATATGATGTATATATATATATATATATATATATAATTGCTTTTTTGCGCTTTACGTGACTGCCAAACCATCTGCAAGCAGCTCAGGAGGAGCTGAGCTGTTGTGGTCAATCTAGGCTGTTTACAGAAACCGTTGACTGATAATGATACAGAATTACTTGGAAGCTCTCGCATTACCCCTTCAACTATGACACTCCACTCACAAAACCGTTGGACGTTGTGCACATTGCCGAGGCTATCAGATACGTCAATAAATATCATACTAGTAAAAATAATTCCGGTCTATAGTACCCGTGTCGGACATAATGCGTTACATGCACTGCTGATACTACTGAAAGCAGTTGCGCGTCAATCAGCTTGTTATTCCGACCAAAAGAACCGACAATGGCAGAGTTTGGTATGCGGAAGCCAGGTCACGTGAACCATCTATCGATTACGCAGTTCAGTCGCTCGTAGGAACATGTACAGCACCTTCAACAATGGGTGATGAGTCATTGAGTGCAAACAAACGACGTGAGCTAATTTCCTGATCCAGCTACGAAGCACACACGTGGTAGCATCAAATTTTAACATCTTCAAGTTATTGTAAAACTCATCTGAACATAGACCATTGCAGCAAAAGCTGACTGCTTGACGATGGAATGGACACATCTGATCGAAAGATGGAATACCCTGACTAAGATAAATTTCGCGTGGGGTAGAATTTCTTTTCAAGCACGGAAGACCTAGCTGTTTCAACAACATTTTCTCCTTACTTACACGCAAAAGTCTGTCGGAAATTTTTTCAACTCGGAGTTTGACGAGTCTAAACATGAACAAGGTTGACTGGTCAAATTATTTCCGCTACTTGATGAGCCTTTAATTCTTTGTTTGAATTTTCGGTTCTGTAAACTGTAAAGTCATACATAAAAATCACTATGCGCGGGCCGTGCGCGTTTGAACACAGCCACAGTGCGCCTGCGACCCACTGTTTAACCCAGAAGCACATCGATCTCGATGCTCTCAAACATTGCTATCGTTGATCCAGAACATACCATCTCACTGTAGACGCTCAAATAAATACATCAGTGTTAAGGAGCTATAGCAGCATTTGTAAGCTGCATACGGAAACATGCAAGCGTGCATTGTTCCAAAAGTACATGTAAGAAAACTTTTCGGGAACAAAAACGACGTCTCCTTGAAAGCAGTCATCATGAGATCGACTGGCATGCACCTTTCATATAATTCTAGGCACGCGAAGCTACGAATGAACAGGTGGGACAGTGATGACCGTTGGTGTCACTCTGTTATCGAGTGGCACGTGATGTAAGCACACCCGTCCACAGTCTGTCAGACTGCCAAATATCCTAAGCTCTTCGTTATATGGTGTGGGTAGTTTATATTGGAGCTCCAGGCGGCAGACTCACCGTAAATGCGGATATTATCATTGCATTGTTGGAGCCTGATGCCTTCTGGTAATGGTTTAGACGAATCAAGAGTGGTTTGCAATAGTTTGTTCGTTTTGGCACCAGTCTGATGGGACCAGCCGGTGGGTCGCCAAGCAACGAGTGGCCTCGGCCGGTTAACATTAGACGGAGAATTGAAAGGAGTCTGATCATTGGACGGCCCAAGCGTTGTTCGGTACTGGATTAGTGATGACATGCCGAGCTGTGCCATCGGCAAAACATGAAGCTGAGCTCGTTGTTGATTAGAGACGACGTGTGCCATCAGGGAGGCGCAGACGGTGCAGCCGTTAAGAGCCGCCGTGCTGACAAGTTGGTGTTGATTTCTGTGTAGCCACACTCGGAGATTCAATTCACTAGCTAGCCCTATGGTTAAAATAATAGAAATAAACAGATACATACCACGATTAAATCATTCAGCTACAACACCTTTCCGGTACACAACTGTCATGCCACCACAGGGAGAAGCACCAGGGACAATACCAAGCCTAGACACGAGCATATGAAATATACAGCTTGGGTTTGAACCTCGGAGCTATCTCGAGCTCATCCCACGAACCTCCAAGAGAGTCGACCAATATATACGGTGTCCGTACGGGACTGGTGTTCAGTTAGACAATGAAAGGTTATCTTTACACATATTCCGCTTCATTGGATAAACATGGCATGGTGCCTCGCAATAATGATGTGCATTCATAAGCCCAATTATAAAAGCGCATGTTAAACAGCCATGTGGACGAAAGTGAATCTCTAACCTAGGGTACTACTTTTATGCATAGTTGCCATGCGACTCGAAGGGAACAAGAGCTGAAATACTGTCAGTTTGTCAAACCCTAGGTGGAAACAACGAGGAGCAAGGAGGATCCTTCGGTCCGTGCCTCATTTGAATAGGTTCCCGTTACTTCGACGAAAGAAACCGGACTAGTTAGGGTACTACTTTTATGCATAGTTGCCATGCGACTCGAAGGGAACAAGAGCTGAAATACTGTCAGTTTGTCAAACCCTAGGTGGAAACAACGAGGAGCAAGGAGGATCCTTCGGTCCGTGCCTCATTTGAATAGGTTCCGGTTACTTCGACGAAAGAAACCCGGACTAGTTGTCTTAAATGGACAGTCTAGTCAGTAAGGTGATCAATCCCCCCTAGGATCTGTGACTGATCATTCGGTCTATACGTACATTTAGCGAAACTCAGTCATTCAGTACACCTAACCAGACTTTAACTCGCGCGTTCGGATTCGAATTAGTTAGATTCAGTAACACATCGATGGTGTGACGTCTGCAACTGCCATTGATGCATGTTTAGTTGTCTCCTCAAGCCAACTTACCAGCGCGTTGTTAACCCAAAATAAGCTGTCTGCCACCGAAACGGAGACATCCGCTGCAGGTCTATCAGAAGGAATCAAATTGGCAGTAGGTCTTTGGGAGCTTTGTAACAAAAATTCGATGGTGAATAAGCCAAATCAACTTACCAGATGTTGATTCCTAACTCACCTCAGAAAACTGGACTTTGAGAAATTGATTTCACTGAACTAATTTATGCCTGGTCTACGGCAGCCAGTTTCTCAGGTGTATGTATGTCTTTTACCCGGTGCCTTTGTAAGAACCAATGTTGCATGACAACACACCGGTTAACCTTAAGTTAGGATGTCCGATAAATGAATAGACCACGGTTGCAAAAGGGTTTGTAACAACCGAATAAGCGCTTACACGCATTACGATGTTGTTACTTATACGAACAAGTGCAGTGGCGGCGAACGCCGCTGACAAAATGTCGAGTACATGTTTTGAGCTTGACCTTTTCATTCTTTAGTTCCCATAACATTGCTTCTCCTTCCGCTATTCCGTGTCTATACTTACTTTAGCCTACCCTTAATTAAACTAAATCTAAATAGCTCGAAATAGCTCAGTGGTTAAGGCTTACTGACCGGAGTGTCCGTGGTTCGAACCCAAACTCTGCATCTGGACTGCTCCTGTCTAGACTCTAGCAATCTGGCAGTATCTCAGCCCTCCTGTCTCCTTCGGGTGGCACAGAAGCTAGGCACTGGAAAGGTGTTACGGCTGGACCATTTCACTATACCTGAATGTGTGCTCATGAAAGAAGGAATGCTCTTTTCTGTGAAGTTGTTTGTCAACAAACACGAACCAAGCGGCTACAAGATATTAGACACGAATGTAAACATCGTATAAGCAGAGAGTTTTCGAAAAGTGAACATTCCCAAGCGACTTGAACTGTCTTGGACCTCCCTTCACTATCAAACAATTATAAACGAACACTACAAAGCAGTTCCGTAATTTCCATAGTAATGTTCAGCTTCCGTCAGATGCGGGGACGGAGCCTGGGCACCGGACAATAGACTACTTGCATTACTCATCAGCAGTTTACCTGGCTGCACTCGTAGTGGTTTCAAACGAGTTTAGTTGTTCTCTGACGTCGCGCGCAACGTTTGCTCTGGAGCTCGGCCGGAGTGGTTATACATCTAACAGTGCTCTGTGAAGACAATATTGTTTGGAATATATACGTCCGCACTTTTGATAATGTGTCCGAGTGAGATGACTTTCGGATCGACTTCATACTTTGGGGAACATTTGAAAAGGATTCAAGCTGAGCTCATGGAATACAAAGACACAAAGGCATAAGTCTGAGATTCTTTCAAAAGCTCCTCGAGGTAGACAGCGAATGGCGGAAATTCATTAGGGGAACCAGACCTGAAGCCAGCCTTCCAAGGAAACAAGTTTCAGAAACGATCTTGAAGGAAGGGCAATCTGAGTAAGAAGCTGCGTTGTGAGGCAAACATGCTCAGCGTTTGTAATAAAAAGGGTAGACATTCCACAAGTTATCAAATAAATCTTCTCGGTTAGTGAAACAAACTAGAGAACGCAAAACCACGGCAACTGTACCGCTGTGTGCCCCAAAAGATCAGCTTCCCTCAAAAGTAACCAGGTGAACATGTGGTTGGACTAGTCGAGAATTCACGATTTTGTAAAAACAAGTGGATTTCTGGTTTGCACGCCCACGCCAAGACGGACAACAAACAGGCCACTCGTACGTGAGTGATTTAAGGCCATAATCAAGGGCCGTCAAATGGAAGCATTCCGACGATAAATCTGCCAAAATATGGCGCCCGGAAATGTCAGATTTTTCAGTGGTTAAAAAAAAATCGTTCAGCTGTAACACCCTTTCGGTACCTAGCTGCCATGCCATCCAAATTAAGAAGGGCTGGAATGCTGTCAGATTGAGAGGAGCAATCAAATGTGTGAGGTTGGGTTCGAACCATAGACCAGTGAGCTATCTCCAGTTTCCATGGTTAGTGGACGGTTGGTTCGCCCCAACTATTTTTAATGGTTTCAGTGCGCATCTCTAGTCCAGTGCTTCCAGCGTAGGTCAGGTGATTTTCACGCTCCACAGGCCAGGTGTCATAGCGCGAAAGGCACGTGCATTGGAACAAAAACCGCAAGACAAGGTGATACCCGCATGATGCAAGATGATACGTCAACAACTAATTTGAATCATTTACGGCTCACCAGTCGCGCTTCTCTTTAGTCGCTAGGTTACATGAAGACAAAATAATACGTGTGCATCTTACGAGATGCGATCCGAAAACTGACCTTCAAAGTGCATCCATAGTACAACCGCAACGGTTACGGATTGCCTTGAATAACGGGCTTTATACAACTAGGGGTGACAGCACCAACAAAAGATCAAGTTTAGTATCGCACGCCTATACCACTTGCTGTGTTTGATCAGACCACGTGCGAGTACGGTCGAGCACGCGATGGACGAGGCGAAAGCAGGTCACGTGAAGTAAACACTGCTGTTCGACCAGTGATTCACAACGATTTTCTTACGCATGCGCACGTGACTCACGTGAGGCTGTTAGGGATGTGAAGGTCGTCAGTTGAACTTCACGTGTCTCCAGCACCCCTAAACCAGTCATGTGTAGAGAATCCGGATTGATACGCAACACTTCCGTTTCAGCTACTTATCATACAACCAACTAAAAATAACTGCAAAACCTTTGTAATGTTTTTCTATAGAGGAGAATGTCGGTAGCTCAGGTAGCGTAGATGGTCGTTGGCTTGTTCGCTGAGCTGGGCAATTTGGTTGCAAACGTTTCATCACCAATCGAGGTGACATCATCAGTGCGTAGTTGTGTGTAGCGGTGGGTTAGTGGTTGGCACAACCACTTTGTAATGTACTACTCATGAGGGTGCTGAAAATCCATCGACAGCCCATGACCGGTTTCGCCCTTTTTTGGGGCTCATCAGGTAGGCGCAGTCCCCGAGTTTCCATAAACTCTATGTTCTACTTGATTTTACTTGATGTTTTACTTGATTTTACTGTATTTTGAGCTTGACGGAACGTTCGGATAAGCCTAAAACTCTAAGATTTTGCTAAGTCAACATCCGAGAAAACAATATCTAATGAGTTTAAAGCAATACTGTATTCAAATGAACCAGCTGAAACGGCTGGAAGCATCAAACTCTTCAGATACGGGGTATTTGGGAGGAAGGACACGAAATCGCTCGATCCGATAGGCGCACCTCCAGAAAAGCTACAATGATTGCCCTTTTCATTCTTCCTGAGGGTATTGTTAAGACCATAGTAACTTCCGAGATTTCCACGCACTACCAGGCTTTTCACATAGACATTCTAAGTCAGCGCTAGAGAAATTCTCGAAAAGGTAGGATCACTATCATACGAAATTTAGATCAGACTAACTAGGAAGCCGGGACGATAGTCCATTGATGAGATATGCGGCAGGTTGGTTGGGAAAAATTAACCCCTGCACTACTATTTAACAAAAAAGTATAGTCCTCTTAAGGTTCAAAAAGTCGGAGTTAGTTGCGGTGAGACGCGGGAGAAGTGATTCCGCCGACCGGTAACATCTGACTATACTCGCCTGTGAGGAGATGTGGCCATTCATGCGTTTCTAAACAGGTGTGACAAATGTGAAGGTCCTCAAACACAATGGTGACACCTAAAAACCGCTCCAACTACATTGTAGATTCGAGAAATACCTAATTTGGCAAATCAATCTGGTTTTCCGAGAGATTTATTTGCAAATCAATCTGGTTTTCACGAGAGATTCAATTGAATCTCTCGTTTATGATAGATGTAGATTCTTTGTGTTAAGCAACAAACGCTCTGCAAGGGAAGGTGACCTAATGGTCAGCGACACAGGAAACAAGTAACCAAAACGAAAGTCGAGAAAATGTCCATAGAAAACTGTTAACTATCTAGCAAAATTGTGGATTGAAGAAAATCATAATTACGGTTAGTGACGTGGAGTTCCAGAGTGTAGTTGTTTGAACGAAAAGGGGAGAGAAAAGATGGAAAAAAGAAATCGATCGGACATGCTACTGAG